TTTATTGTCTGCCAGTTTGAAAAGGATCGATCTACTAGGTAATTTTCTACAGCGTTTTTTCCGTGATGCAATTTGATGTGGGACACCCTTTAGATCAACCATGACTGGGACAGTAGTATCGAAATATGCCCAAACAGATTCAAGCTGTCATATATCAAACTTCATGATTTTACCAAATGCGGCCGATAATGGCCTTACTGACAGTCCACGATCACAGTAACGCTCTCGGGCATGTTTCGGTACCCCCGAAAATATTCTGGTACCCACGGGGAAGCGGCCAATTCTCGACAAAAAAAAACCAAAACCCGTCGTGCAACATATCAAACTTCATGGTTTTTCAAACCTCGACCGGTAATGGTCTCATTGAGACACCACGATTACATTGGCCATCCCAGAAATGTACCGATGCCCTCGGGGAAGTGGCAAACAAGAATAAAAACCCGTCGTGCGACACATCAAACTTCATGATTTTACAAAATGCCGCCGATAATTGCCTTACTGACAGTCACACAAGCCCTCCTGGGCATGTTCTGGTGCCTCCAAAAAGTGGCCAATTCTCGACAAGAATCAAAACCCGTTGTGCGACACATAAAACTTTATGATTTTACAAAACTCGACCGGTAATGGCTTTTTTGAGAAGCTCCGGCACATTGGCCACCCCGGAAATGTTCCGGTGCTTTTGGGGAAGTAACCAATTCTCAACAATAATTTAAACTCGTCGTGCGACATATCAAACTTCATGATTTTATAAAAAATCGACCGGTAATGGCCTTATTGGCTGTCCATGGCCACACTGTTTGGAAATGTTTCGGTGCCCCCAGGAAGTGGCCAACTTCCAACAAGAACCAAAACCCATCGTGCGACATATCAAACTTCATGATTTTACAAAACTCGGTTGGTAATGGCCATATTGAGAGTTCACATTTCTCGACAAACACTGAATCTAATCAGACCTTGAATAATTGACATCGCATTCATGGAACATGAAAAGCGGCAAGATGACAAAAACTAAATCCCAACAGACAATTTTAGCTGTAGACCGCTTATACAGGCAAAAACTAGCTGCATAAGGCAATTTTTGACTGTATAACCCAAGTAACAATTCGGGTTTTATGAGGGTTCTGTAGACCATGATTTAGTCTTGAAGAATGCTTTAAAACCTCGATAAAACTTGCAATGTTACTTGGGAAGCTGGTCTGCAGCTAAAATTATTAGTTGATATGATCTAGAATACTATCTCTATTTAACGTTTTGCGGGGCGACATAAACCAAGCATAATCGTAAACGAACAAGAGGAGCTGTCAAATTAGCAACAGAAATTCAATAAAGCACTGCACGCGAATGCTAACCTCTCTTTTTTTGCCGTCCTTTTATCTCCTTTCTCCGTGAGAATGAACGAGCTAGGAACGAGTGGAGACCAAAATAAACTCGGCATAACTTTCAATAGGCCTTTTAAGGCACCACCAAAGTAGAGTGCGCCCCGCGAGTTCGAGAGGAAACGTCAACCAAACCGTTTGTTTACATCAGAAAAAGATTTTTTCACAACACAAATTAAAGCATTTTTCATTCAACATCTTGCCAATTTTCATCGGTAATTGTCTTATTGTACGATTTTTCACAGATCTGAACTGATTTGTACCTTAACTATTCACACGCAAGAAATCCGGAAGATCATAACCACTAAGGCACTTTTCTAATTTTCCATTTTTCTCAACAAAAATATTCCTGAACACCATCAGGATCTTTGCAAAAACGTTACAGAATTAAATTTTTCAACTGTAGATCAAGTTTTGGAGCATCTCTGATAAATCAATTTATCAGGAAAAGTAAAAAAGTGTTCCGTTTCCTGTATCACGGTAGAAATTTCTGCTCACAACACTCTTTTTGACGTTTTCCTATTCATCACCAGAGGTTGAATCGATCGTTTAGTTTCTATTAAAAAGGCGTATAGTAAACATTATGTTCACCGTGTGTATAATTGTTACAGAACAGTAAAGTTGAATGCCGTTGTCCCAGAGTGACCCCAATTCTAGCCTAACTGCGATGATCGATACTTTCCATCGATTTACTTTTTTGTTAATAACTCTGCTAGATTAGCATTCCTGGGTGCGTTTGATGTAGCTATTGCTAGCTAATACAACGTTTCCCTACACTGTATGGGAATAGTTTCGAAAAATTGGTTTACTTAGCTGCGGTAATGCCAAGAGTAAATCGATAAATAGAATCGATCATCGCAGTTAGACGCTTATGATTCTGAACGCTAGAATTAAATTTTCAAGGGCTTTCACAGACTTATCACCGTCGATTAGTGCTTATTCCTGCCAACAGGCGCGCAGGATCTTAAGTTGGATTTCTTAATAAAGTCCAAAACTATACCGATAAATCAATAAATACTTATTCACCCACCAGCCAAGATTCAGAAAAGAACTTAACAGGAATTCAAAAAAAAAAAAAAATATCTAAAGGAACATACTGAGGACGATACAAAAATAGAGCACAATTTAAACTTAATTAGGGGAAATGGCTCTAATGTTGGCCTATGGATCTAAGATTGGACCCATCGCTAAAAATCAGCTATTTATCAATTTTATCTAGATGAACGCGTCATTGGGACGGTACTAATGGATATTTTTGGTCGCTATTGAAAATTTAGTCGGTTGCTGAACATATGTATGGGCCCAAATTAGAAGCATTTAGCCCGACATTACATCCATTTCCCCTACTCAGGAAAGTTTCAGGAAAATTCAGAAGGTAATTTCAAGAGATTTCTGAGGAGAATTCCAGATGATCCAGATTCGTGGGCTTCGTAGTCGTGCGGCTAGCGGCGTCACCCGTCGTATTGTAAGTGACACGAAGTGAGGGTTCAATTCCCGCTCCAACCGGTGAAACTTTTTTCATCCCGGAAATTCCCTACTGGTCTTCTAGTTGTTGAGTGTTGTCCGACGTCTAGTCTGTGCAACCTCTGGTTGAAGACGGTGCAATGGATCAATGAAAATGCTGAGGTTTTGACAGAACTATGCTGTGGCTATCCTAGTATTTTACATTTGATCGTCCATATACAGTAGCGTCAAAAGCATGCTGCAGTGGGTTCAAAACTTGAGCATCTAGATTGATCAATTCTCGATTACTTTTTCGAAGGGACGTATCAGCTTTTGTAAACAATGCATTTGATCGTCGGTTTGGCGTAGCTGGTAGCTCGTCCACGTATACTAATACCACTATCAGGTAGGGGGAAATTTCCCCTACCTGATGGTATTGTTAGCATGCATAGGCGAGCTACCAGCTACGCCAAACCGACGATCAAATGCATTGTTAACAAAAGCTGATACGTCTCTTCGAAAAAGTAATCGAGAATTGTCTTTTCATTTTTCATTTTTTTATATTAGTTACTTTAAATCGAATCTTTTATTAAAATCTTTAAATCGATTTATCTCCGTTAATATGGCTCTAATCGAGATTTAGAGCGTTTTTAGGAGTCAAAAAAAAATCCCTGAAAAAACATGTCCCAACCCATTTTTTCAGGCTGGCGGGTATGAAAATCTTTAAATCGATTTATCTCCGTTAATATGGCTCTAATCGAGATTTGGAGCGTGTTTAGAAGCCAAAACAAAAAAAAAAAAATTCCTGAAAAAACATGTCCCAACACATTTTTTCAGGCTGGCGGGTATGAAAATCTTTAAATCGATTTATCTCCGATAATATGGCTCTAATCGAGATTTGGAGCGTTTTATGGAGTCAAAAAAAATTCATAAAAAAACATGTCGCAACCCATTTTTTTAGGCTTGGTATGAAAATCTTTAAATCGATTTATCTCCGTTAATATGGCTCTAATCGAGATTTGGAGCGTTTTTAGGAGTCAAAAAAAAATCCCTGAAAAAACATGTCCCAACCCATTTTTTCAGGCTGGCGGGTATGAAAATCTTTAAATCGATTTATCTCCGTTAATATGGCTCTAATCGAGATTTGGAGCGTGTTTAGAAGCCAAAACAAAAAAAAAAAAAATTCCTGAAAAAACATGTCCCAACACATTTTTTCAGACTGGCGGGTATGAAAATCTTTAAATCGATTTATCTCCGTTAATATGGCTCTAATCAAGATTTGGAGCGTTATTAGGAGCAAAAAAAAATTTCCTGAAAAAACATGTCCCAACCATCGGCGATTTCTCGCGAATTGAAGCGAAACATAACAACGTTACAACTCCTACTTTGAACAAAGCGTTTCAATTTTAAAGTTAATTTAATAATAAACTTATTGGAAATGTAACGCATGAGTAGATAAAGTTGAAATCTGCATTGCTCATAAATCATGATGAATTCTTAAGTTTAATTAAAATAAGTTTGCGTCCAATTGCAAATCCATAAATAAATACAACCTACAAAAAAAGAACCATAGAGATGTATTGTAACCATACAATAGAATTCATTGTATTTACAATAAATCGTATTGTCCACAACGATAAAATAATCATATAATGTATTGTTTCCACAATAGATTCTATGGTAAATGGGGAAATCTACAATAGAACAAGGGGGTTGTTATGTATCTTAACCATACGAAAAATCTCTTTTTCCCGAGCAGAGTTGAGCCATTTCCCATTAATTGTATTGTTTTTCTATTATTGAAAATTCATACGGGTCGTTTTGTACATCGATCGTAATAACAATATGTTCAAATTTCTTGTACAATATACGTACAATAAGATCGATTGGCAATAGATTAAGATGTAATTGTATTTTATTTTATGGTAATTGTATGGTTATTTTGTTCCGGGATGGTTTACTGACTTTTTCACGGCTCTCCCATGAAATTGCTTTTCAAATTCCTGGTGGTTTTTCGGCTTTCTCCGTTCACTGGCCACCCTGGAACTTTCGCTGGAATTCATCTACGTCCAAAGTCTTCAAAGTATTCCCTAGAAGCCTCCCCTCGAAACCTTGTGAAACTTATCCAATAATATCTAGACTGATTCCAATCTCCTATTCTCCATTTCCCCATTTCTGCAGACTGATGGAGGACTGTGGCGTCGCGATGTACTGCGACATGCACGCCCACTCACGCAAGCACAATGTGTTCATCTACGGGTGCGAGAATCTGAAGCGACATCCCGACCGGCGGCTGCTGGAGCAGGTCTTTCCGCTGATGTTGCACAAGAATGTCGCCGATAAGGTAACGGCCAGATCTGAACTAAGCCCTATAACTGATAACTGACAGTTGATTTGCTTCTTCCCCGCATCAGTTTTCGTTCGAGAACTGCAAATTTAAGGTACAGAAAAACAAGGAAGGCACCGGACGGATCGTCGTCTGGGTGCTCGGAGTGACCAACAGCTACACCCTGGAGGCGTCCTTCGGTGGCAGCACGATGGGTGGCCGGGCCGGGACGCACTTTTCCACGGCGGTAAGTTTTGTTTTCTGGGTTTTTTTTTCCCTGGAGAAACATTTTCTAATGAAGCGAATACTTCCGAACAGGACTACGAACACATCGGCCGGGCCTACTGCGAAACGCTGATGGACTACTACGACGATAATCCGATCAAAGTAAATTTCTTCGTCAAACGGTTGCGCAAGTTGCGAAAGAGGGAGAAAAAACTGCGAAAGGCACGCCGCAAGGCCCAACAGAGTGCCTGGTGGTGGTTGAACGAATGCTAATTTATTCCTGGAAAATTTGCTTTTGTTTTTAGCTTACTGCGTCTGAATTGGTTGATTGGAAAAATTCTGATCGCTCAAAATTCGTTGGAAATAAGCATGTTCCTAGAAGCAGCGAAGGAGTTTAACTGGAGAGGTTGCAATGTTTCGGATACGCTTTAGAGATTCGCCTCAAATGCAAGAAATTGCTACACTTTTCTTCGACGATGAACTACTGTGCAAACACTTCCAATTAATCGATGTTGAATTCACTTGAACTGATCAGAAATAAACCGCTTGCTGCGCCGAATCTTTGACAGATGGCGAATACACTCTCACCTGAAATCAATTAACAACAAGTTAAAGGCGAAAATTTTACACCGTAAAATAAGAACGCTGACTTTCAGTTAAACTCCTTCCCAGCTAACCAACTGAAACCAATCCGTCGATTGCATCGGATATAGCATTTACTCAACACCCATTTTTTTAATAACATTCTCACCCACCCACCCGAATTTTCTGTCGACTGTCGCTGCAAAAGTATTATCATTTTTATTTCGAAATAATAACGCCAGTTTTCTCTCGCTCTCACTCGCAACGTCTAAGCGAATCGTGTTTAGTTAAGTTAATTTAAATGCATAGCAAGCAAACGAAACAATAAGAAAGCAAGCATAAACTAGTAGGCGCATCTTTTAGAGTATTGCTCGAGTTAAAAAAAATAATTGAAGTCATTACGTTTGTATATTTGTAAATAATAGCATATTGTATACATTTCTTTTACTTATTTATTCATCAAATGTCAGCGCTTTCTTGAAGTATGTAGTAGTTTTGGAAACCGAAATCGAAGATCTTTTTTTTTTCTCTGTTTGGCATTGTACAAATTCGCAAAACAAAAAACAAGTGAAATTTGATAAAACGCAAATATTAAAGAGTATTCGCTTATTTTTAGTTCAAAAACAAATCCATCCGGGTTCGATAGAAGTTGTGTTTGTGTCATTTTTTTTCCTTTGTTGACATTTTCACCGTATTGTATTTGTCAGTGAGCGCGCGTGTGTATGATTGTTTGTATGGGAACGTGTGTTTGTGTTAAATATTATTGCAAGTACTTCCAGCACGACCACCAAAAATGACAAACCGAACGCGGCACGCCCATTTTGTTCTCGTGTAAGTTTTGACAGACAGCCATCGTCGACCATATGAAAAAGCAAATGTCATAATCGCACTCGTTGATGTTGTTCCGAAAAATTGCATGCAAGTCACCAACAGGGTTGCACGCTAGTTAAGGGCAAAATTCCTCACACGATTGTTGTTAAATTGATTTGTTTACTCTTTGCAAACGAACATTGACTGAAACCGAAACCATGACGATCAATGAATAGTGTCAGTATCGGGTAATTGTACTCAAGTTTTTATGGTTCATACGAAACATGCACAATCCATTGTCGGTCCCGCCTAGTCGAAGCGCCATTGAACGGCGGCTGGAGGAGTTTCTTCGGATTCCGGTGCCTCGGACGAAGGAGGAAAAAGCAGCCAAACGGGAGGAAAATGCCGCGCTCCAGAAGGAACGAACCGAAGAAGAGAACCGGAAACGTGCAAAACGAATAACCCTGAGGCCGCCATCTCCGCCGAAAGTGTTCCTGTTCAACTGGCGAAAATACGTTTGGGCGGCGAATCCCAAGACTAGACGCTATCACTAGAGACTGTGACACGTTTTCCGACTGTTCAATGTGTTACTCACCCGTCTATGTTCGTGTCCCTTGTGCGCTATAAAATCAAAACTACCCTTGCTATAAAACGCCACACACTATCCCAGTCAAACTTCCTGATACGATACTTTCTTTCACTCCACATCACACCGCTTTACAACACTTTTCTAACCACCGCCAGCGGAAGTACCGCCAGATCGTGCGCAAGTACTTGTGGTTCTTTATGAATCTGCACGATCCGAACTCGGAACCACCCTGCATGGAAGAATGGCGTTGGCGACTAGTCGAATTCAGCCAGATCCCTCTGCCTACGACGGAGGAGGAAAAGGCAGCCATAAAGGAAGCAGAGATCCTAGCCCGCCGGAAACGAGTCGAAGAGGAACGTATCAGCCGCATTGAAGCCAAAAAGGCCGCCGCTGTAGCTGCTCAAGTTCCTCCCGAACCGACCCCGTTCCGTTTCCAGTGGCAAAAGTACTTCTGGGCTAACAACCGAGGCAAGGAGGCCAAGCTACTACACTAGCGACATCTACAACACGCCACAGAGCACTGCTAACACACGTGTATATATGTTCAAACAATAGTTATGGATTTGTCCCATTGCCCACGCAGTAATGTACAGTCCAAGTAGAATTAGCAGAACTATTAGGCTAGATTTACGGTAACGCAGTTACTGCCCGCTCATAATCGAATGTTTACCTTTTGTGCTACAAAAAAAAAAACCTTAAGCGAGTCTACCGCAATAAAGCGCGCCAGTGCTTGCACTTCATACTGAACCTGGCCAACCTGGATTCAGCGCCACCGTCGAACGAAGCCATCCAACGACGGATGCAGCACTTCCGCTCCATTCCCGTTCCGCGCACCAAAGAGGAACGGGAAGCTCTGCGACTGGAGCAGGGACCTCGCAAACGGATCGTACGCCGGGTGGTCAAAGTCGTGCGGCGCGTCGTTCGGAAAACGAGACCCAAGACGCCCCAATCCGACGACGAGAGACAGATTTGACTCGATATTCTGGTTTGTTTATTTTGATTAGGTAGTTGAATAAAGTAGTCCATTTTTGGAAACCGAAAAGCACGCTTTGTAGAATCTTTTTTATGGCACCGAACGCACTTGATTAGGATGGAAAAAAACAAGCTTCTAGGTTTTGCAAAACGTTACCGAAAGTGGTTGTTTACTTTGAAGGAAAAGCTCCGCATGAAGATCCTGACTCGACTTTCGAAGGAGGGCTCCAGCGCGGAGGAACCGCTCAACATTCCCCTGTCGGATTACTCCAGCGACGAAGGCGACACCAGCACCAGTAGTTCCGAAGATGAAGGTTAGTGTGCTATAAAATTCATCGTTTTCGCTATAAAATTAGAAAAACGTTTTTCTTTCTCGCAGCTGGCAAAGATAGCATGGCAGAACTGGAAGGCCCGTGCTGTTCTTCACTGAGGGTACCTCCATCATCTCCGGTTCTACCGCAGAAATTCAAGGGAAACAAAAAGGTAATCACAACCGCACCTAACCTCAACTCTTTGAAAAACACTGTTCAACTTCCACCGCACAGGGCAAAAAGCAAAGTCGCACTCCGACCAGACCGTATCGGCGAAGAGCCCGCAATGCGCACCGCATCGTGCTGGACATTCCTACGGCCGAACCGGCTAGCGATTTCTTCGAGTACTCCTCCGACGAGGAATCGTCTCCGGTGGGCGGTCAGCCTCACCAGATGGCCGTGTCCGATACGGAGAATACGATCAAGCGGAGCTTCCGGCGGCACCACAAGTTTCGCCAATCGGAACGGATCAAGAAGCTGACGATGCTGGGCTGCGAAACGCAATATCTGATGCCACCGGAACTGATCGTACGGTCGGCGACGAGTCGATACATGTCCGAGGAGGAGGACGACAACAACCGGATGGTGATGAGCATTATCAAGGAGTTTCCACCGATCAGCAAGGAGCGCTCGTGGCAGGGATTCAACCGGAGGAGTGCGGAGAGGTGAGTTTTGGGCGATTGGTGGGGATGGGGATTCCTACAACATTTCAAATCTCTTTAACTCGGAAGACCAGGGTTCTGCATTTTCGAAACAAAGAAAAGAAAAGGAACTTTCCGCAGAAGCGCTTCATTTCGAGCAATATCATTTTCGTGTAGGTCACTGTGTTTCTTGTTATCGAGTCACAATGAACAATCCTCCTATCAAACATGAATTGGATATCGCTTGTTTCGTTCGTCAAGTGCATCAGTTCATTTCATTTGAAGCAAAGACGTGTTTCAATTGACGCAATGAATGATTCGAAAACTGCATCATTCGTTGCTTCCACTTTCACTTCAATTAGGGGCTCATTCGACTTGTCACGCGTCGCGTCGTCAGGCATCAAAATATAGTATCCGGATAGTATCCGCACAATACCGGTTGCCGATAGGGATGGCATCCGGATTATATGTAGTAATACATTGTTATTTTATATTAAACGAAAATAGAGCCCAACTGAAGTCCAAGATGGCGACCATTGGTTTCAAATACCCTACAATATGAGTATTTTTGAACCTTGGACGACGCGAAGGTGCCAAAAATCGATGTCCGACGCCATTTTGGAATCCAAGATGACGGCCATCGAGCTCTGGAAAAGTCTCTAATGGGTATTTTCCGAGGGGAACGACTCTATCTACGATGCAGAAAACATTGTGTTTTGCTGTGGCTAGCTGCGCGCACACTGAGTAAATAGAAAGAAGATTGATGACGATTCTGAAGATTTCCTGCAAAAAGATGATGCGCGATGCAAATAGATGCGACAAATGAAAGAAGATTTTTCGAAGATTGATTCGCTAGTGTGAGATTTGTTGAGCATCTAAACTTGAGATTTAGATGTGTCGCCCCCCTCGGTATTTTCAGAACGTGATCAACGCGCAGACGCCGAAGATCGATATTCGACAAATACTCTAAGATATGGGTATAGACCTTTTTGACGTTTAATCATCTTTCTCTATCTAGCACACATGGATGAATGGACGGTTTGTTCTCCCACTAATCTGTTTCCCTCTTGCTCGCACTCGTTCGCTTTAAATGGTACAGTAGTGTGCGCCGATTAAACGTCAAAAAGCTCTATTTTCGGAACGTAGACGACGCGTAGATACCGAAAATATATAGTGGACGCCATTTTGGAAACCGACATTGGGTTTCAGAAAAGTGTCAAATACCCTAAAATATTGCTATTTTCGGAACGGGAACGACGCATAGATTCGTATGGGTATTTGCGGAACGGGAACAACACGTTGGTGGCCATCGGGTTTCAAAAAAGTGTCAATATTGATGGATATTTTACAGTATTTTCCACATTTTCTGAAATTGGAAGCCACCAACTTGGAGTTCAAAATGGTGTCGAATATCGATTTTCATTCTCTAGCTGTCATACCGATTCAAAAAATACCTATATTAATGGGTATTTGACAGTATGTTCCACCTTTTTTTAAACTGGAAGCCGCCATCTTAGATTTTGAAATGGCGATTCCAAAAATACCCATATTGATGGATGAACAATGAACCGAGTGAACAATCAACAAAAGTAATTTGGATCGAACAGCTTCACTTCAATCCGAACGAAGGTGCATTTGACAGTGAAAGACGAAATGAACACGAATCAAACCAAAACAAACAGCATGGAAACTGATCGAAAGTGATGTTGAAGGGGATCTGCTCGAAGAGAAGACAGAATGACTTTCAATTGAAAGCGATGGCTGACAGCTTCGTCGTCGCTTGACGATTTTCGATTGAAAGTGGCTTTTTTGGGCCCTGCAGAAGACCCGAGCAAGGCTGTCATGGTAAATTTAATGCTGGTTACATACTATTTTTTAAATTAGCGCCCCCGCCACCTCAAATTTATGGGCAGCCCATAATTGTGTGTAATTTAAGAATGTTACAATTCCAAATTAGTGAAAAAAAAAATCGTATTTTTGAATCGACCTTCTCCGATTTCTATGAAACTTTGAGTAATTGTTTGTTTTGGGCAATGAATCTCATTTTTTTTTCCAAAATTTGGCCATTGTAAAATTTACAAAATGGCATCCTTGAAATTTTTCAGAAAATTGTAGCACGGAAACGGCATTTCTGATCGAAATTACGTCTAACACAAATGTGTAGAGAAAAATCATGTCGGTCTCTTCTATTTGGTAAAGTGGACTGTAAATTTCTTCGAGAAAGCTACTTTTTTCGGACCTTAAAAGAAACGCGTCCGGTTCACTGTAGCGTCAAAAACAACTCTCTTTATTGCGTCGAAATAAAAGCAAAATAAGAAAAAATACATGTGTTTGTATGTGTGTTACTGCGATACAAGGCATCGAGAGAAGAAATATGATAGGGGTGCTCAAAATATCGACAAACAATGTCTTTCTGGGAAAAATAAACAATTTTTGTTAGGTAAAGATTTAAAAAAATAAAAACCCAAATATATCAAAATTTTTTTGCCGTAGTTATTGGAACTGCCCTAAAGATTTCTGAAGTCGCTGAATTTCATAGAACTTTTTAAAAGTTCTCCCAATTTTCCTGAAGTAAATTGAACGGCCTTGAAGTTATTTTCCCTTTTCGAAACTTCTTTGAAGCTCATGGAACTTCCCTTAAAATCTTTCAACTTCTCTGTTTGTCCCTGAAGTTTCCTAAATTTTTAAGAATTTCTCGAAACCTCTCTATCGTTCCATCAATTTTCCTGATCTTCATGGTCTGTCCTGAAGACTACGCCATTTTCCTATTTTTTGGAACATTCTTGAAATTTATTTGAATTTTCATAATTCCTCGTAACACCATGAACTGCTCTGAAGTTCTCTGATCTCTTGTAGTACTGGAAACAGTCCTCCAAAAAAAATATGAAACAGCATAAAAATCTCAACATTTTCCTGAAGTTCTTTGGACATTTTTGAAGTTCCTTGGACATCCTTGAAGTTCTGGCAACTTTACTTAAGTTTTCGAAAATTCTCCGAGTTTCTTGAAACTTTTGTAAAATACCTGCAATTTCCATGAGGTTAATTGTACTGTCCTTAGGAGCTCTGTTCTTCCCTGATTCTTCTTAAGTTATTGAAGCTACTCAGAAATAAATTAAATTGTCCTGAAAATCTTTAATCTTCCTGGAAAATCTCTGGACTACCATTAAATTTCCGGAACTTCATCACTAAATTTCCCGAAAGTCTAGACTTTCTGAGCTTCCCCGATGATCTCTAGTCCTAACTTCTCTGCCTAAGTAGCATGTTTGATGTCATGAGGGTTCTGTAGACCATGATTTAGACTTGTAGATTGCTATAAAACCTCGATAAAACTTGCAATGCTGCTTGGGTGAGGATTTTGAAATTTATTCAAAACTACTCTCAATGTTCCTCAAGTTCTCTGAATTACTTTGAAGTTTTGTTAACTTTCCTGAAGTTATCGGGATATTCTTGAAGAACCGCACTACCGTTCATACTGGCGACATCGCTCTGATGAGACAACGAAACCCTACCCGCAAGCACCTCCGCTTTTCCTATCCTTCGACAATGTACCCCTCTAACCTCGGGTAAGCCGCGAGTATTCGGCCCAACTCCTACTAGACATAGAATTAAGTGAATTTTGTTACAAACAAAGAACAATGAATTATCGGCTCCGTAAAGCGAACGCGATTGAGCCTTACAAATAAACGAACTAGATAAAAAAAACTTCTTCGATGTTCCTGAAATTACCCTGAAGCTGATGGAACGGCCATGAAGCTTCCCTGAAGTTCCCGAAACTTTGAAGTTCCTGGAATTGCCCTGAAATTGTTAAAACTGCTTAAAAGATCTCTAAACTTCCCTTCTCTGCTGTTCCGAGAATTTCTATAAGTTTCGGTGAAGTTTCCAAATGTTGGTTTTAAGTTCTCTAAACTTCTCTGATGATCAGGTTCTCGCTATTTTTCGAAATTTACCTGGAGCTCTCGGGACTTCGCTGAAATTCCCGTAATTTTCCTAATATTTACGGCCCTGCACTGAAGTTCTCAGAACTGCCCTAAAATTCACGTAACGGCCGTTAAGATCATTAAATTCATATAACGTTTTGGAAGCTTCTCCAAAACTCCTGCAATTTTCCTGAATTTAATGGAGCTGCCCTAAAGCTGAACACCTATTGCAACCTAACATAAAGGACTTTAACGATTCCCCGTAGTTCTGGATGTTCTCAGAACTACCCTGAAGTTTTCGGAGCTTCCTTTAAATTCTTGAAATTCCCGAAATTCTGAAATTCTTTGTAGTTTGTTTGGACTTTGTTCTGCTATTTTTCTGAAGAAGCCTTTCCTGAAGTTTTAGGCAATGTTGCTGATTGATGAGCGAAGCCGCGATTTGAAACCGACGATACTCTCCACGGGAGAGAACTACAAACCAAAACTGTATCTGTTCATCAGTCACCTACCGCTTCAAGAGAAGAGCGAAAGAGTGTCCTTTACGTTTACGTCTTTATCCGTTCATTCTATGAAATGCACAAATCCAAGCCGATACCGAGGAAACTCGGGCACTGAGTGAGTGCCGCTCGAGTTTCTGGTGGCTTGAATCAGTGATTGACTGAGTCAATGGTTGAGCAAGATTTTACTGGTTATTATGTACGGATACGGAGACACGACAAAGAGAGTTATTTTTCTGGCAAGACCCCCCCTTTAAAAATACGTTACCCCGCTTTTTCACCAACTGCTTCAACGAACAGGTAGACTCACTCTGACTCAATTTGTCTCTATCAACACACTCTGACTCAGACCTCGAGTTAGATTCATGGTGAATCAGAACGACTAAGCTCAATGACTGAGAGAGAGAGAGAGAGAGTCTGGTTAGATGAACACATTCTCAGCATTTCTAGATAGAGCTGGAATTAGGGCGTAACAACCTTTGTAAACAATGACTTCTCTGGTTGATTCCTCGGAATCCAAGGCACGCCAGCACAAACCAACATATTCATCGGGTAGGAGAAGTCTTCCTCTACTCGATGGTGATGTCGATTTTCCAGGGAGAGCCATGGCCTTCGAGAAATCATCGAGAGAAGTCAGTGTTTACAAAAGCTGTTACACCCTAATTCCAGCTCTATCTAGATTTGTCTGTTCTCCCGCTGAGTTGAGTCGGAATATTTTTGTCATTGCCTCTGTCCTATTCGTAGTGAGAGTCTGGTAGGAAAATGAACATTGTGAGTTGTATCTCTCAAATACTGGTACTGAGTTGTCATTGATGCGAATATTTGCAACATTGGTTTTAGGAACTAAATATCCTAAAGTTCGCCAATTTGCAAACTGCTTTGAAGTTCTCAGAACCTTCCCGAAGCTCTCTGACTGTTCCTGAAGATCTTTAAAGTTAATAAAGCCTGATGAACCTAAAGCCTGATGAACCTTAAGAAGTTCTTCCCAAAACTTTAGGGATGGTCTTCCCAAAACTTCAGAAAAATCCTTCTCACAGAAAAGTTCGTCCCAGAACTCCAGAGAAGTTTTATTCAAAACTTCAGAGATGTTCTTCCCAAAACATGAGGGAAGTTCTATCTAGAACTTCAGAATAAAACCTGATCAACCGGAAGACTTGAAGAAATATCCTAGAATAAAATTCGGGAAAATTCTTCACAGAACTCTAGAAAAGTTCTATTCACAACTTGATGCAAGTTTCTCCAAGAACTGAAGAGAAGTTCTTCCCAGAATTTTGGAAAAGTTTTGCCCTGAACTCCAGGAAGTTCTTTTCAGAAATTTAGGAATGTTTTTCCCATAATTTCAAGGAAGTTCTTCCCAAAACTTCAGGAAAGCTCTTCCCAAAACTTCAAAGAAGTTCTTCCCAAATCTTCAGAAAAATCATTCTCAGAAATACAGAAAAGTTTTTCCCAGAACTCCAAGGGAAGTTTAGTCCAGAACTTTAGAGATGTTCTTCCCGAAACTTGAGGGAAGTTCTATCCAGAACTTCAGAATAAAACTTGATCAACTTCTTGAAGACTTCAAAAAATATCCTGAAATAAACTTCGGGAAAATTCTTCCCAGAACTCTAAACAAGTTCTATCTACAACTTGAGACAAGTTTTTCCCAGAAATGAAGGGAAGTTCTTCCCAGAATTTTGGAAAAGTTTTGCCCAGAACTCCAGCGAAGTTCTTCATAGATTTTTAGGGATGTTCTTCCCAGAATTTCAAGGAAATTCTTCCCAAAACATTCATCTTCGAACTTTGGACATGTTGCCTAAAACTTCAGAAAAATTCTTCTTGGAACTTAAGAAAATCTCTTCTCAGAAATCCAGGGAAGCTCTTTCCAGTGCTTCAGTTAAGTTTGCCCAAAAACTTCAGGGATGTTTTTCCATGAACTTTAGGGACGTTCTTTCCAAAACTATAAGGAAGTTCTTCCAAGAGCTTTAGGGAAGCTTTTTCCGGAACTTAGGAAAAAATCTTTTCATATCTTCAGGGAAGTTCTATCCAGACTTATAGGGAAGTTCTTTCAAGAACTTCAGAAAAGGTTTCCCCAGAACTTTTAAAAAATTCTTCCCAAAACTTAAAGGAAGTTTTTCTCAAAAGTTCAAGGAACTTCTTCCCAAAACTTCAGGAAAGCTCTTCCCAAAACTTCAGAAAAATCATTTTCAGAAAAACAGAAAAGTTTTTCCCAGAATTGCAGCGAAGTTTAGTCCAGAACTTTAGAGATGTTCTTCTCAAAACATGAGGGAAGTTCTATCTAGAACTTCAGAATAAAACCTGATCAACCTGAAGACTTCAAAAAAGATCCTAAAATAAACTTCGGGAAAATTCTTTCTAGAACTCTAGAAAAGTTCTATCTACAGCTTGAGGCAAGTGATTCCCAGAACTTTAGGGAAGTTCTTCCCAGAATCTTGGAAAAAAAATTCCAGAACTCTAGGGAAGTTCTTCATAGAACTTTAGGGGTGTTCTTCCCAGAATTTCAAGGAAGTTCTTGCCAAAACGTCAAAGAAGTTCGTCTGTGAACTTTGGGCATGTTTCCCAAAACTTCAGAAAAGTTCTTCTTAGAACTTAAGAAAAGCTCTTCCCAGAACTCCAGGGTAGCTTTTCCCAGTGCTTCAGTAAAGTTCGTCCAAAAACTTCAGGGATGTTTTTCCATGAACTTTAGGAGCGTTCTTTCCAAAACTATAAGGAAATTCTTCCAAGAGCTTTAGGGAAGCTTTTCCGAAACTTAGGAAAAAATCTTTTCATATCTTCAGGGAAGTTCTTCCCAGAACTTCAGGGAAGTTCTATCCAGACCTATAGGAAATTTCTTTTAGAGCTGAAGCTGAAAAGGTTTCCTCAGAACTTCCGAAAATTTCTTCCCAGAACTCCAGTAAAATCGTCCCAGAACTTGAAGGAAGTTTTTCTCAAAACTTCAAGGAACTTCTTCCCAAAGCTGCAGATAAATCCTTCTCAGAAATACAGAAAAAAAATCCCAGAACTCCATAGAAGTTTAGTCTAGAACTTTAGAGATGTTCTTCCCAAAACATAAGGGAAGTTCTATCCAGAACTTAAGAATATAACCTGAATCAACTGAATCATCCTGAACCAATCAGGATCCAAATCAACCTGATCATCCTGAAGACTTCAAAAAATATCCTGAAATAAACTTCGGGAAAATTCTTCCTAGAACTCTAGAAAAGTTCTACCTACAGCTTGAGGCAAGTGTTTCCCAGAGCTGAAGGAAAGTTCATCCCAGAATTTTGGAAATTTTTCCCAGAACTCTAGGGAAGTTCTTCCCAGAACTTCTTTAGGGAATTTCTTCCCAGAACTTCTTTAGGGAAGTTCTTCCCAGAACTTCTTTAGGGAAGTTCTTCCCAAAATCTCACAAAAGTCCTTCCTAGAAGTTCAGGGAACTACTTCCCACAATTCCAGGGAAGTTCTTCCGAGAACTTGAGAAGACTTTAAAGAAATTCTTCAGATAACTTTAAGGAAGTTCTTTCTAGAACTTTAGGAAAATTTTCCCACGACTTCAGTCAAAGAAATGTTTTAGGATTCCAAGGGACATAGATCTTCAAGAAACATCGTAGAACTTTCGAAAACTTCGCAGACATTCATTGAACTGTGTAGAAGGTTAGGAAACTTTCTAGAAGTGCAACAAATTTCATAGACATTTAGCTAACTTTGCAAATGCTAGACTTTGTAGATGCTCAGTGAACTTCGTAGAACAACATTGTTGAAAATAAGCGAACTTTAGAGAAATTTGGCTAACTTCTCACAAAAGTGAACAACTTTTCCAAAAAACAGAATCTATTTTGACTGGATCATTAGAACCAGATTCAGCGGAAATGTCCAATGCGAACTTTTCTCTATGCAGTAGCACCACCTAGCGAATGAATTCTTAGGCAAAATATCTACCAAGATTGAGGTACCCACAATTCTAGTGAACAACTGAAGACATGAACCACCTGTCTTAAGCCCGACGACTTTCCAGAATTATTTCTCACTTCCACGGTAGACTGAAACATCTTCTAAATACACACCCCTATTCTGTATTTCGTTTCAAACGAAATTCTCATACAAAAAAAAAAAAAAAATTTTTGTATGAGAATATCGTTCGAAACGAAATACAGAATAGGGGTGACAATTGAAATTCCCGGCGCCGAGGAACACCATCCACCATAAAATCAATAATTTTTCAATATCCCCAAACCCCTAGAAACCGAGCGGAAATGATGAAACCGATGAGCCCGGACCACATCTTTGCCCATCTGTCGTTCAAGCGGTCCATCTGGACCGGAACGCACTCGGACGGGTACGTCAACGAAGCGGCGACCATCAACTCCCGTCCCCTATCCTGGGGTGTCCCACCAGTTCTGGTCAAATCCACCCACTTCGACAACGAAGCCCTGCTGACGTAAGTTTTGCAATCCCGATGATTACCCACGAAAAAATAATAATTCATTTCCCATCCAAACAGTGCCTGTTCGCAGAAGCTGGCCGCCTGGAAGGACGAAAAGCGAAGCCTCAAGGAGAAACACTACAAGAGCATGTCCCGCCTGGCCGCCAAGGATAAGGAGAATCGTTCGGCAGTGAGCAGCGCTGCCACCCGGGTGAAGCTGTCCCTCGCCGATCAGTACAGCGGCGGAAAGCAGAAAGCCTCCTCCGACAAGAAGCATAGCGATAGTTCCGAAGGCAGTGGCATTGCCAAAGTTCGGAGGAAAACCAGGTACAGATGGGAATTATAGTTCTAAACCCTAAATCATATCCATTTACCCTACCCTCCTCAGATCGACCCTGAACAAAATCGTAGAGAAAGCGGAAATCATTACTCACCTGTCGCGCAGTGCACGTTCCGGTCACTCCCGTCGGATGGCAGTCGCCGCAGCAGCTAGTCTTCTCTCGTCGTCCGGTTCTCCCCGGAAGGCCACAAGCACCAGCAATCTGCTAGGTCCGGTATCCGGATCGCAAACCCAACTGCTCGTTTCCAGTCAATCGCTTAAAACACCAATCCACACCGGTGGCGGCAATAAGTTCAAAACCGGCGGAATAGTCGTAACGGCCGCTCAACCTCTGCACTCGAAGCAACGGAAAACCGCACAAGGACACTTGCGAGCCGTCAGGACACCGTCCAATGCACCCAGCAACAACAACAACAACAACCAATCTTCTTCCACTTCACCGACCAAACTGCCCACGACGACCACAATCGATATACAGCTGACCACACTCTGCTCCGAGACGGAATCTGAAAAGAACGTCAAAATTGTTAGGAAGCACAAAAAGAAGCACCGGATCGGCAACAGGGACAAATCGGCGGCCGGCAGAGTGCCGGCCTGATCCCGATAGGATTGCTCTATACACTACTCAACGAAATGCAAAGCAAATATGTAATATTATGTTAGTCTTAACCGTGAAAAACAAAACCGTCCAAAGGACCAGAAGTGACCTTGTTGCCGCTCCTCAGCGCCTAATTGAAATCAGATACAGCCTACGATGGAGATAAAAAAAATACCTTGTTTGTCAGTGTGAGAAAAGTGACTTTATTAGAACTGAACAGTAATATAAGCCTAATCTAAAAAATTAAACACCAATAACTATTTCGTTTCTCTTACCTAAATTGATGACTGAATTCCGGAACTGAACGAAACGGAGAAGCACCGAATGAGATTAGCATAACATCAAAACACAACAAAAATTGATTTTTCCTCTCGCACCGATCGAATTATGAACGAACGAAATTCCGCGACGACTGCTAATGCTTATCACGAACTGATAAGTGTTTTTCTTTCTGTCCTTTCACTCTTTTCGTGACACGGTGAATTCACAGACACACACACTTGACACTTGAGATGATCGGAAATCGGAACGACGGTGGCTGCGGCGTCGGAAGAAGATCGATCTTTATTTTTTCTGCACTAGTGCGGCGCTCTGTGGGTGGGTGGAAAACAAACGAACGGGACGACGAAGCAGAACCAAAACAAAACAAACATAACACTTTCTTGTCGCGGGTTTTTGGTCGATGCAGGCGCAAAGTTTTCGTATTGATGGTGGTATGTTTTTCGTGGGATGTCATCATACCAGGTAGGGTGACCATTTGGAGGTTTTATTATACGGTATACCAAAAACCAAAATAGCCCACTAGACCTTTTGACGTTTAATCGTCTTTCTCTATCTAGCACACATGGATGAATGAAGGGTTTGTTTTCCCACTAATCTGTTTCCCTCTTGGTCGTAATCATTCGATTTAAATTGTGCAGTACACACTTAATCTAGCTCGGTAAAATCTCCAACAGCCGACTACCTCGGCATTTACTTTTGCTGATTTCTCTGCAAAATATCTATTTGTTAGCTGATATCTCAGCAAAATCTAATTTGTTAGCTGATTCTCGGCAATTGTTTTACTGAATCTCAGCAAAATAAATTGCAGAACTACTCGGCTGTTGGAATCTCGGCGAAAAAATTTAAGTGTGTAGTGTACGCAGATTAAACGTCAAAAAGCTCTCTAGCAACAATCGATTCCCTACCCTAATAAAAAATGTATGGTTAATTTGCTTAACGACGTGTTCTGGGTATCATCCAAACCATTTGTGGAATAGTTCAATGATTTGGGTTATCGTTCGTTTATAGTTATTTTTTATGAGGGTAGTCCCCACCGAGGTCCCCACACACTTAAATTTTTTCGCCTATATTCCTACAGCCGAGTAGTTCTGCAATTTATTTTGCTGAGATTCAGTAAAACAATTGCCGAGACTCAGCTAACAAATAAGATTTTGCTGAGATATCAGCTAACAAATATATATTTTACAAAGATATCAGCAAAAGTAAATGCCGAGGTAATCGGCTGTGGGAGATTTTACCGAGCTAGATTAAGTGTGCACACAGCAAAAACAATTGTAATATCTATGAACGTAATTCAAGCTGATGTATGAAATAATGATGTAATATAGCAAAAAGCAGAAACAATATTACATCAATGGATGTAATTTTGTTCGCAAAATCAATGTACGTCGTACAATGTGATATTACACAACTGATGGATTGACCTCGGGATTGACCTGGTTGCAGCAGTTTCGATGTAATATTCAACAACTTTTTTTGCTGTGCATCAAGCCCACACTCAAAAATTCGACACATGATTTTCATATGTCCACACATAAACATAATCCACTCAGAAGTACACATGGAATTTATGAGTCAGATGAGTAGTATGTGTGGTTACGCATGGATTTTATGTGTACACATATCAAGCAAAGATGAATACTAATAGCACAAACGAAGTTACAGACGACTTTCTCCGAAGAAATTAATTAAAATAAGGTGGTTCTCTGTAATAGAATTTTAGACCACTTTCCGCCGCTCACCGCCAGGTTCGCTAGTATTTTTGATTTGAATTAATTCAAGTTGGTTTTGTGTGCAATGATCTGGCAACTCGCGTTCTCACTCGCGTTGACGGGGTGCTGTTTTCTCACTCATCGAAGGAAATTTTGATTAGAGTGAGAAAGTAAGGAACAGTCAGCGCGGGAACCGTGTGCGGTACTATAGGTGCGGCAGAAAGAATGTAGTCGACTCCTTCGTTCTCACGGTGTTCTTACGCATGATCCAACGTTACGTCACACTAGATTATGCATAAGAACGTCGTGATAATGAAAGAGCAAAGTTTGTATGTTTGGGAGCCTCTCGCATTCAACTCGCATTCGTCCTCGAGTTCGTGTGGAAGCCATTCAGAGCGGAGGTGGCCAGGAGCGTGGCATTCGAAGTGGAACCGTTCCGACTCCACTGGTCGTTGGATTGGGGGAAGCCTGTGAAATCGCTAGCCGTGAAATGAAGTACGATCACAAATGGATGGAGTTCCTCTCGAAACGCCTGATGGACCAAATCTTCGCATCGCTACCGAAAGTCATCCGCAATGGCGATCCAGTTCATTCTTATCCCGGATGTATCAATCTGTCGTTTGCATACGTTGAGGGTGAATCGCTGTTGATGGCGCTGAAAGACGTTGCCCTCTCGAGTGGGTCGGCTTGCACTTCGGCTTCGCTGGAACCGTCGTATGTGCTGCGTGCGATTGGTGCCGACGAAGATCTGGCTCACAGCTCGATTCGCTTTGGCATCGGACGGTTTACCACCATCGAGGAAATCGACTACATAGCTGAAAAGTGCATCAAGCACGTGACTCGACTCCGAGAGATGTCCCCGCTGTGGGAGATGGTCCAGGAAGGTATCGACATCAAGTCGATCCAGTGCTCACAGCATTAGAGCGGACGGGTCGGGGCATATTTTAAAGAGAGATTTGATTTTGTATGTTCTGCTGTGTATGGTTGAATTCAGTGAGGGTTTTTTTTTAATTGTTAATCATTGATTGTGTTATTAACACATCCACTTTTGGTAGTAAGTAGGTATTGAGACGAGAGAAAAATAATGTATAGCTTTGCTACATATGCTATTAGAGACAGCAATAAATCTTATACAGTGAAATCATTGTGAGTATTTCATCATTCACTTGGCGAAAAAACTTCCTATCAGCGATTGTTTGAAATAGTATAAACTTTGTTAATTCCCGTCAAGGACGGCGTTGTTACGACTACGCTAAATTCGCAAATCTGAGGTATTCGTGGACTGCCATCTCAGATTTGCTTTGGCGCGGATTAGTTCCACTTAGGGTTAATTCAACTAAGTTTCGATTCTAATTATTTGAAGACTCCAGGAAAATCTACGTTTAGAAAGACCTTCTATTATTTAATAAAGAAGTAAAGCAGTAAAGTTATTAATAGTTGGGCAAGCTAAAATATCATTTAAAAAAATGTGTTCAATGTCGATAAGCTTTCCGCAAAATCCGCACTTCAAAAGCCATAAAACCGCACAAAATTTGCGACACTTGTAACAGCCCTGCAGTTGGCTTCGGCGTGCCAGAGAATACCTAATCCACCTAACCGGACCTGAAGAAACGGAAAGGAGCGCGACTGGGATTAGACGGGCTAGCCTTATGAAGCTCTCTACTGACATACAATATAGCATGGTTGCAGCAACCTTATATTTCACCTATTTGTCTCTAAAGATCACTAATTTACACCCGACACCCTAGGTAGGATAATGTCATCGCAAATAACAACAATTCCCGTTGAATACATAGTGCGAAAAATGCTCTTGAATTACCCCAAACCGTCTCATCACAACCTACGCCTCGGTCAGCGTGGCCCGACCGATCGTTTTCGGCATCTTTTTATTGGTGGAATCCTCGAGCTCCTTCGGTTTGTAGTAATGCGGTGCCGCCTCCAGCAGCCACTTGCTTTCGATTTCAATCACCGACCGCATGTACTCCTTCGTCGTAAACACCAGCTCGTGGTACAGCACCCAACGAGGCAGTTCTTCGAACAGTGCCGAATTCGGATGGATCATCACCGTCTGATTGTGCTTGGCCGTTTTGTAGTGACCCCCCCTTGGAGAGCCGAGCGACGTGATAAAAGTACCCGGCTGTAATAGCCTTCCGGATGTTGGTCGTTTCCGGCAGACTGGAAACCATTTCGATTTCGACTCGCTGCATTAACCCAACCAGCTGCTCCCGGACATCGCGAGCTCGTTTCATCGAACGGAACTGAATGAAATTTTCGTAACACCACTGAGTGCTGTAGTCCGATTCGGCCCATTGGTTGTAGACCTGCAGCAAACTCAAGTGGTCCCCGTGCATGTGGTTGAAGTTCTTCCGGGCCGTATCTGCGTGGATGATTTTATCTTTCGGTCGGTAGAAGATGGCTCCATTCACCGATAGCATTGCAGCGATGGCCACCACCTCCTCGGAACATTTGTACTTTTCACTAGCAAGCAGCATTTTTGCCATCATGGGATCGACCGGAAATTCCGCCATCCGTCGTCCAAGTTTGGTCAGTTTACCGTGGTGATTCAATGCCCCTAGGGCGTAAAGTTGCTCCAATGCCAAAACCAACGTTTCATGTGGTGGAGGATCGAGGAAATCGAAATTAAGCAAATCGTTGATTCCAAGAGCTTTGAGCATTAGCACGGCATTGCCCAGGTTTATGCGCTGAATTTCCGGGACGGTGTTGTCTTCCAGCTCGTGTTTGTATGCCCAGGCTGTGTACAGACGAAAGCACTTGCCAGGGGCAACGCGCCCTGCTCGACCTGCACGTTGATTGGCAGACGCTTTCGAAATGGGCACGACCATCAGGGTCTCCATCCCGGTTCTGGAGTTAAAATTGTTTTGCTTTGCAAAGCCCGGATCGATCACGTACATTATGTTATCGATGGTTAGTGATGTCTCGGCGATGTTGGTGGCCAGTACGACTTTCCGGGCGTTCGGTGGAGTTGGATCGAAAATTTTCGCCTGCATGTCCGATGGGAATGATGAGTAGTTCCTTGAGTTTGGAACCCAACCGCT